TTCTCTTTTCGTCCTTCAATCACGTAATTAGGAAGGTAAGTCGTTTTCGGCTATTATCAAAGGTCAGTGCCATAAATATAACTCTTGTTTTACACGTTTTAGATACGGTGTAAAAACCGTATAAATAAAGTGATAAAGTTCACAGAAAAATTATTTGAAAAAAGAACAACATTGTGGTATAGAAAATCGTGTAAAAAAAGATAATAATGAAAACCCAATAAATTACATAAAATATTATTCATACATATGTATTTTAATTAAAAAAAAAAAATAATAATACTATTCATCGCTGCTTGATGGATATAAATCTTCGCTTTCATCGCTAGAAATATCTGACACGTCTAATTTGTTATTACTGCTCTGTGTTGTTGAATTTCTTGTCCTTAGGAAATCTGTGTTTTTTTGTTTCACAAGTTATTTATACATTTCTTGATACCCAGCCATACAAATCTGCAAATCTCGTTGTAATTTTACAGCTCGTTCTAGGTCGGGGTCATGAGTAAGAAAATGCTGTTCCATACTCGTAGCAAATTGCAAAGCCTCGTGAATCAAAGCAGCTGTTAATTGATAAATTTTACCCTTACCTTTGTCTTCGTTATTAAGGCCCTCACTTACCACCGGAATCTGTCAATAACTTCAATTAATTCTCATCATTTATAGATTTATCAACCAACAGTTGATAGCAACAACGCGCGAAATTGAAAATATTTAAACTTTCTGTTTCTGGGAATCGTGTTGGAACAAATGATTCGTATAAAATATTCGTTGTTTTTGGTGGATCGTGTTATTTCAACACCGTGTAAAACAAAGAGTTGAGTGTGTATAATTCTCGCAATTACTTTATGGTAAGGTATCGCTGAACGATACTGTTACGTATTTATCGGCCCTGGCCGAATTCCCACAGAGATCGAGAAACCAGTCGAATCTTTTAAATCCTAAATCACGACGTCCTCCTCTCGCTCTCCGTAATCAAGCCGAAGCAACGAGTCGGCTCGTGGGCGCAAGACACCCGAAGACACTTGACACTTGAAATCCTTTATTGGCGCCCGAAGGTGGGTATTATTAACGGTTCGTCGAATTAAAAGGGGCACACGCCCGTGAAGTGGGGCTGGATGGGCCGTCGTTATCGAAATCGTTAGCGTGGCACACAAAGCTGCGCGGATTCCATTTCCTTTCTCCTCGCCGACACAGTGTGTCGTCACGTACGGATTTTTCGTCCCTCTGCTTTCTCTGCCTCTTCAACTTGTTCAGCCAGCCTGCCCACTTTCCACGCGCCCTCCTCCCTTTCCCCCCGATCCCGCAAAAATAACGCGACCCAATTTCCGCAGGTTTGCACGACGAATGGATCGAGCCATTGATTCCCCGCGGACCGTGGCTCCACCGTCTTCGAGTGTTCTCCAACGCTCCGAGCGAGTGTTTCCCCGTTCGACGCGCTTCTGCCTCGGCAAATAAATGAAGTCACGGTCGGTTGAAGGAGCCCGGTGAATGGTATGGTAACTAAAGCAATATCCGTCGGTTCGTGTTTTATTCGCGGGGGGCGAATTCCGGCCGAAAAACTCGAGGAGACCCGAGGTAAACGTGCCTTAATTACGGGCAAGTCGCCTCCCCCCCCCTCGAGTCGGGATACTCCGAAGTCTTCTTCTTGACAAATTTTCAGGAAATCCTTACGTTTGCTCGAAAATTTAATAAATTCTTATTAAATTCTTCAGGAGAGGGGGAAGGCGGGTATTGGACGATAGCTGATAGTTTGTGCGTCTATCTAGCGCAACCAAAGGGGGAGGAAGGGAAATGGATCCTTCTGCAGCGACGCAAGAGCAATTCAGCCTGGAGGATTCTTCGGGGGAGCACATACCTGAAGGAATCCTTCATACGTAATCGTCTTACTTGAATTGATTGTATTAAGCATACATCACCATGCTTATTTATTTTTCAATTAGAAATTTCGTGTGCTCGCATATTTATTTCAACATAGACTTTGTCTATAATTGTAATTAAACGACCAATTCTTTTTTAATAAATTTATTTTTCTTTTTTTTTTTTTCGATCCACTCGAACGACGAGAATGAGATCTAACGAACGTAATCCAAGTCGAAACGACTGGCTTGTGCAGCCAGGGGCGAATTAATGTGAAATGTGTAATGTAATAATGCGAATTAATGTGTAATCCAAGAGCGAGACAATCATCACCTGCTGAATGTCGTTTGCGATTGTTAAAGCGAAGGCTAGACCTAGGAATATTAATTGCGTTCTAACTGCCCAAGTCTAGCACTTGAAATATTAAGGCCTGCATCGACTCCTACGTTTCACGGAACCTGCATCAGCTTTTCGCGTGACGCCAACGTTGAAACGCGTGCTTTAAAATGTCGGATCGTCTACAATATTACTGCTAGTAACAGGAGGTCTATTATTACTTGGAAAAAATAGAAAAAAATTGGATACTATAAAGAAAGGTATGCATCCTCGAAGATGCATCTCGCGAAGGGATTCGAGAGACATCAGAGAGTGTATTATAGCGATCGAGAATGTTATAGCGAGTTGAGAGATTATATAGATTTAATTTTTAATTTTTCTTTTTTGTCATCGTCGTATTATCGTTGTTTGTCGTATTATTTATCTTTGTTTAAAGCACTTAGGTAAAATATCCTTCTATCAATCCCTCGATTAATAAACCAAATTCGATTACTCGTCTCGACGCATGACGATAGGTGTCTTTCGTCTCGACTACTCAAACGCCGAAGGAATTTGAGAGAAAGACATCAAAGAGTGTATTATAGCGATCGAGATTGTTATAGCGAGTTGAGAGATTATATAGATTCAATTTTTAATTTTTTTTTTTTGTCATCGTCGTATTAGGACTATTGATCCTTGTTTTAATAAACTTTATTTATCTTTGTTTGAAAGCACGTAGGTAAAATATCCTTCTATCAATCCCTTGATGCGTGACGATAGGTTTCTTTCGTCTCGACTACTCAAGCGCCAAAGGGTCGAGTGGATTTTGAAAATCCATGCTTCGTGCTTTGGCGAGCTTTCTGGCAGAGTGTGACTCGCTTTCGCGAGAGTCTGCTCGACGCCACCGATCCAAGGAATTGGTACGTAGCAAAACCTAGCCAGTCGATTACCTCTTGATGAGAATTCCTTCCAACTCTGCGGGTTCATTTATTTAAATTTATTCCATTTGACCATTAGCCTTGCGTGTCTACGTTGGCCAACGCTCGCTCGCTCGTCACGACACGCAACGCAACGCAAATTCCATGCAAATAAAGATAATGAAAAACATTGAAATCCTCTTCCCTTCACGTTTGCGAAAGCGCTCGAAATGCATAATCCTCTCCCCTCCGAATATGCACGCCACGAGGGCAGGACGCGAGAATACGCAACAACTCGC